CTTCGTTTCAATTAAAAATTTAAAAAAAAAGAAAAGTTACTTTTTCAGTTGAAAAAAACCTATTTTTCTGTTGACGTTTAATTAGCAGAAAATGCAAAAGTAATGGAAGCTGTTAGTTTCTTCATTACCGAAAATTCAGAATCAAATCAGCTTTAATTCTTTGATTTTCAGGACATCTGGAATGACCATTCGATTCATTACACTACTTATATCGCTCTCTAATTAACACAACTGAGTAAAAAGCATTCAAAAATGAAGTTCATAATGAAATATGCAAGAATAAAGTAAGTAAACGACATGCAAAAATAAAGTTGGTAATAAAATATGAACAAATAAAGTAAGCAAAAGGCGTGCAAAAATAAAGTTGACAATAATATGTGTACAAGGACATTAAGTAAAAGGCGTGCAAAACGTAATAAAATATGCACAAATAAAATGAGCAAGAAACATTTTAAAATGAAGTAATAAAACAAGTAAAAACGAAGTAATAAAAGGCATGCAAAAAAAGTTGGTAATAAAATATTTGCAAACGAAGTGAATGAAAAGCATGCAAAAATAAACTTGGTAATGACTCGTGCAGGAGGAAGGTGAGTAAAGGCCACTTAGAAATAAAGTTTATAATAAAATATATAAAAATAAGGTAAGTAAACGATGTGCAAAAATAAAGCAAGCAATGATGCGCACAAAAAAAGTAAGTAAAAGGCGTGCAAAAATAAATTTATTAATAATAAATGTGGAGAAAAAGTGAAAAAAAGCATTCAAAAAAAAAAATTTATAATGGAAAATGTAAGAATAAAGTAAGCAATGATATCTATAAATAAAATTAGTGAAATAACATGCGAAAATAGAGCTGCTAATAACGCATGCACAAGAAAAGTAAATGAAACATGCAGAAACAAAGTTAGTAATAAAATATCTACAAATAAAGTTAATAAAAGATATGCAAAAATAAAGTAATAAAATAAGTACAAATGCAGCAAGTAAAAAAACATAAAAAAATAAAGTGCGTAATGAAATGTTACAAAAAAAAAAGAAAAAGGTGAGTAAGAGGCATGCAAAAATAATGTTGGTAATAATACATGCAGAGAAAAATAGAGTAAAAAGCATTCAAAAATGAAGTTCATAATGAAATATGTAAGAATAAAGTAAGT